TGTTAGTGCACGTGATAGAACACTTGTGGAGAGGAAGAAAGTTTACTATGGAATCATTGAAGAAATAATAGAGCTAGACTATATTGATTTCAAGATTGCTCTCTTTTGGTGTGAGTGGGCTGATAGTGGTCGTGGTGTCAAAACGGATGAACATGGGTACTTGCCCCTAGTAAATTTTGGACGCCCAGGGCATCTAGCTGATCCGTTTATATTAGCATCACAAGCAAAGCAAGTATTCTACATGGCTGACCCGGCTGATTGTAAATGGTCAGTTGTTTTAGAAGGTAAGAGATGGATACTTGGCCTAGAAGATGTTGTTGACGAAGATGAATACGATGAACAGTTCAATGAGACACCATCTTCCACATGGAACATCCCTTCTATAATTGATGATTTTGGGATAATTTCAAAACGTGTCATAACGAAGGTGTTTATGTTGCAAAAGAGAAAGGATGATATATAATGCTAAGGTTTGAACTCCAATTATTTTTTATTTTTGATAATTTCTTTAAAAGTTTACTTGTGTATATATGTATTATTGTATTAATAATGTTTATTTATTTCTTTGATATATTGCAGGGATATAAAGATGGAGAATGAGCAAAAAAACTCAAGTCTCACAAATGGCACCAAAAAAGCCAAGAGGTCCAGCCAAAGGACTAAAATCCAAGTCCGGGGAGCCGATGGTTCTTGAATGGGATGACATGAACCGACCTGTTGGAATATGGACAAAAGCGTACAAGGGCCACCTTGGTGAAATTAGTAGGTCTAAAGTGTCCATACTGTTTACAGATTGGACTAAAGTTCCACAAGGCATCAAAGACATGTTGTGGGAAGATGCCAAGGTAATTAATATTGACTTTCCAATATATGTTAAATGAAAAACTAATTATTGCATGTATTTTGAAGTTTATGTTAGATAATATTTTGTGTTATGTTTTGTTTAGAGGGCGTTTCACATTGAAGAAAATGCGGCAAAGAAAAAGAGGGTCCTTTACACTTGTGGAGAGCAGTGGAAGGATTTCAAGACTAGATTGGTTAGCGGTTGGATCACCAAAACAAGGAAAATGGGCCAGAGAAAAAGAATGCCATATGAAATGTATGATTTCATAACGGAAGAAATGTGGGAGGAGTTTGTAGAAGCACACAGCACCGAAGAATTTAAGGTATAAGTTTCATTATTATACGTAATGTTGTATGAAATTTTCTCAAACACTAACCATTTTCTCATTCTATGTATGAAATTAGGCTATAAGTGAGAAGTCAAGGAGTCAATCTTTCAACAATTATCCTCATCACTTAGGCCAAAAATCATACGCCGAGAAGGAAGTTGAGTGGCGTACGAAGGGATACATTTCCTCTTCGACTTCTGCACAAAATGCGTCAACAGCTTCCTCGGTTGGGCAGAATTTGCCAAATCGGACAACCGCTTGGCTTTTGGCAAGATCAGTTGAGGATGACCAGGGGAATCCTTTCTTGCCAAACGAGAAAACGAGGGAGTTAAAGCAATCCATTGTAAGTATATTTCTAATAGTGTTTTATTCGAATTACGAAATTGAATTATGTTAACTAAGTGAAAGCGTTTCTTTTGTTGTAGGATGAATGGAAAGAACAAGAAGAAGAAGGGTCATTTGTTCCTACTCGGCACGATGATACTTTAACTCGTGCCCTTGGAAAAAAAGACCGTAGCGGTCGGGTGTTAGGGGTCGGTAGCGGACTAGGCATCAAATCCGTTTAGGGGACCGGACCGCCCCAAAACATGCAAAGACCGCAGGACACGGAGGAATGGAAGGAATTAGAAGCAATGATGGAAGCTAATTTCGAAAAAATGTTGGAAGCGAAGTTTAATGCAATGATGGAAGCGAGGTTCAGGACAACGAAAGGTGGTGGTGCTCTGCAAGCGGCACCAAACGCATGCACAACCGCTCCTCCTCCCGATCTTAGTAGTTGTCAGTCATTTGATCCATTTGCTGCCATGACGGTATAAGTTATGTTATTTAATATTACATTGACATATTCTGTCTTTAATATATATGTTATACGATGTTCTAAAATTTCTGAGCAATTTTATGGTTTTCAATCAAGGAACCCCTCCGATGTCATCTGTTGTTAATGGATGGCTCCGACAAAGTCGTTGTTGCTAAAGGTACCGTGCACCCACAGTTGAACCAAGATCATCATACAAATCTCCTTCAGGATCATGTGAAAGTGAGCGTGGATGATTATTCTGATCAGTATGCTAATGCTCCGGTTCCTGCACCGTCGCAATACATCAAGAAACTTAGTCAGGCGCACAACACCTTCACACAGTGGCCAAAACAATTGGTTTCACTTTTGAATGACAAGGTAATATCTCTTTCAAATAAAAATATGAAAAATAAAACTTTGTTTTTATAGGAATTCAAATTAACAAAAATTCCTCTTACCAATGCATTCTTCTAATGTTATATTATTTAGGAATCCGCTATAAGGAAAAATGCGGACCCAAAGAAAAAGGCCATTGGAAAAGACCATCAAATTGATCACGAGACAAAAGAGTCTAACACTTGTTCGAAGAAAGTGTTTGTTACGGACATGGCCTTGGAAAAATTGGGTCCAAACTGCCAGTATTTGAATACCATGCTTGCTCACGCATCTGAAGATGATATTTATACTTTGATCGCTGATGAGTATACATTGATCGCTTTGAATAAACGCCACAACCGTGGCTATGGCGTCCAGCCCAGGCGCCAACCTACTGGTTGCGGCGTCTGCAGCTGGCGCCACCACCGCTGGCTGGGCGTCCGGCCAAGGCGCCCCTCCTCCGTCACGGCGGTTTTCCCTTTTTTTTTTTTTTTTTAACAAATTGTACCTTGCCTTCTTGAGACCTCCTTCCCTCCGCCGCCGCCGCCAATTCCTTGCCTTGCCGCCTCGACATTGCCGTTGTTTGAATATTTTTTTTTTTTTGAGATGTTGAAAGAAGATGAGCGATGAGAGTGTGAGTGATGAGAGTGTGAGTGTTTTTTTTTTAGGTCAAGGGCAATATTGTCAAATCAAGTGAATTTTGTGGGCTTTATGTGGAGATTTGCGGGCGATGTTTAACAAATCCCTTTTATAATTGTCTATGTGTAATTAAGTAGATAGTCCAATTTTCAATGAAAAAATAAGCTGCTGCAAACCAAAAAATTAAACAAAAAAAAAGGACCATTTACGTTGGTCTTTTGCTAATAGCCGACGCAAATAGTCAATTTTTTTAAAAAAAAAAGAAAAAAAATTAGAAAAATAGACTATTTGCGTCGGCCATTAGCAAAAAACCGACGCAATTAGGGTGTCTTTTGCGTCAGTCTTTTGCTAATGGCCGACGCAAATAGTCATTTTTCCATTTTTTTTTATAATTTTCTGGTTATTTGCATCGGTGTATTTGCGTCGGTTTTCTAGTAAAGGCCGACGCAAATGATCTTTATTTGTGTCGGACAAAAGTTCGACGCAAATAATTTTTTCTCATTTGTGTCCCCGCCAGTTGCGTCGGCTTGAAGTTCGATGCAAATGCACTATAAACAGCCGACGCAGATGAGCATTTTTGTACTAGTGTATTATTATAGAGTTGGTTTATTCTAACCTTCTATATTTGTTATTTAATTTTAAGTATAATTTGTTGGATTGTTTCATTTTGATAAGAAGGTTAGACAACATTTACTTGATTGAAATAGATAAGAAGGTTATACAGCATTTTGCCCAAGTTTGATCCCTTTTTATTCCATATGCCTCAAATTGATGGAACTTGACATGTTTATGATGTTTTTAGTCTTACAAACTTACAACTAATTATTTTTGCTGGTTTTTTTTTAGATTAGTTGATTAATTTGATTAAAAATATGGAGAATAATGTTGCACCGGAAGTTAATATGGTCATATTTGGTCCTTTTTGGTTCCATTTGCCCTAAATTAATGTCACTTGACATTTTTGGATTCCTCTAGACATATAAGTGTTGTAGTTGTCTATGTTTTTTTAATTGAGCTACTTAATTATTTCTTGTTAGAGTACACATAGAAGATCATCATTACTCATTAATGTCTATCTGAGAAACTTTTTGCCAATGTATATATGTCTATAATTTGGAATCTTTACAATGCCATTTGTGTTTATTAGTTTACGTTGAGTAACATATTAATTGATCTTTACTTTACTGTTTAAGTTCCTTTTTCATCAAATTGACTTCATCACATTATTTACGTTATCTTATTAGTTGTTTCAAAACTTAGAAGCTTATAACTAATGATATTTGACATGTTTAAGCATTAGTTGATTCATTTGACAGATAATATGAAAAATAGGCTACTTAGTTGAAATTTAGGCCTTTTCTTTCATCATCGCTAAAAACATCCCTTACATCCAAACCGGGTTTATGAACATTCGGCACCTCATTTGTATGAGCTTTAGGCGGGAAAATTTCTTCAAAAATCGCACATCACGCGAAACAAATATTTCTTCAATATCCAAATCAAAAACTCTCCATCCTTTCATTCCAAACGGATATCACAAAAACATACACTTCCTACTTCGACTCGTAAACTTGTCACCCTTGCTTCTTCTATTATGAGCATAACACAAACAACCAAATATCCGAATTTACTTGTATATATGACGGAGGTTTGTTGAATAATACTTCAAATGACGTCTTATTTTCAAGCAATGGATTTAGGGTCCTATTAATCAAATGACATGCCGCTGGAACACACTCCCCCCAAAATTTTAAAGGCAAATTTCCTTGGAATCTCAGAGCCTTCGCCACATTTAAAATATGTTATGCTTTCTCTCAACTCTCCAATTTTGTTGTGGTGTACCCACGCAAGATGTTTCAATTAAATTACCATTTGTTAAGAAATAATCACTCAAGGAATTAAATTCCGTCCTATTGTCACTTCTAATAATTTTTTATTACTTGATCAAATTGGCATTTAATCATAGCAAAAAAATTCAAAAACATCAATTCAACTTCCATTTTATTCCGCAATAAATAGATTCAAACACCTCTAGAAAAATCATCCACTATTGTTAAAAATTAATGAGCACCACAAGAGGAAGGTGTTTTATATGAACCCCACAAATGTATATGAACAAGTTCAAATATGCGACTTGCTATATTTTCACTAATTGGGAAACTACAACTTGATTGTTTTTCCCAATATCACATGCTTTATTATGTCTCTGAGAAGAACTACTCATTGTCGAAATCATTTCTTAACACCGAAACTGAAGGATGTCCCGTCCGTTGATGACATAGGTCAAATGAACACTACTAGAAATAAGCTGTTTTCTGACAGAAATACCCACTATTCCGTCGGATACATGGTTTCTGAAAGATTTTCCATCGGAAACGTCCGTTGGAAAAGTATTTGTCGAAAATTACGCAGTTTTCGTCAGAAACCCTTTTTTTAAACGGACTCTTCGACGAATACTCTTCGGTCGAATTAAAAAATAAATCCGACGGAAATTTTATCGGAAAATTGTATAAAAAAAACCGACAGCCCACCACCACTACCCTGCCACTGCCTACACCCCTAATCCTATCACCTACCACCACCAGTCTACCTTAACCAACCCAGACCCACCTTCTTAACCACCCCAGCCCCACCCAAACCACTCAGCCAAACCCACCTACTTTCCCCTATATCCTACCCACCACAACCTTTTACCCCAACCCATATACCCACCACAACATCTCCCGTTGATTTTTGGGGGAAGAGGTGGAACCTCAGGGTAATAGATATAACGTGCCACACAGTATATATCCCAAATAGAACATTTTTGTCCAAATATTTGGGCCTATATTGGGCCTCTATTTCTGGTGTGATGGCGGACGTGTAAGTCCCTCGTGGGAAGTTACCTGGTTTTTTGTGTTGCATGGGCTTTGTGTGTTATTGGAGTTTACATTGAAGGATGTTTTGGGCCTAAATTTGGGCTTACATTGGGCTGTAGCTTGTGTCGTTGACGGGTTGGTTTGTTATGGGTATTGGATATTGGTGGTTCTTTCCACCACTTGCTAGGAACCAACTTGATACAAGAGCTATAGATGAAGTTTTGACTTTGTATAATTTTATCAAGGGATCATTCAAAAAAATCTAGAAATGCTAGGTTGGGGTAGTAATCGAGTTGAGCAACTCGCGAGCAACTCGAATTCTACTCAGTCAAAGCTCTGTAAAAACTCAGCTCAAGTTAGCTCGACTCAAGATATTAACGAGTGGAGGCTGTCGCCCGGCGATACCCTCTATCGTCCGGCGACAGGCTTATCGCCGATGGCAACTCGGTTTTCTGTCTTCAGTTGAGCATTCGCGATTTTAGGCCGAATCTAATTGTAATTAATTTTCCAGTCAATTCCTACGTGTATCCTATGGTTTGACGCATTACGGATTGTCTTTCCAATGCGTACCTTTTTATGCAAATGCCACAATGTCAATCAAGATTACGATAAGGAAGGTCAAAACATTTTTCAAGTCTTATCCACTCATCCCAATCAATACCAAACACATTAGTATCAATTAGTAATCCTCCCCAGTGGAGTCGCAAAAATTGTAGGGAATTTTTCATACTTCTTCGCCTTACCGTAGTGTCATGCTTTTAGGCATGCCTTTGGCAATCCTAGGAAAGTTGATAGAGTCACCAATGAGTCTTGGGAAAACTCATAAACCCACCATAATTTATGAAATTATGATCCGGTAGTGGTCTTGAACCAGTATGGATTCAGGGATGATGGTACGAAATTGAGTTAAAAGAAGTCAATTCCGCCCGATTTGGCCTCTACTTAGGTTTTGACATTATTATCGCTTCCCGATTGACATACAAACAATAGGTTAATCCTAAACCTAAATCTAAACCTAAAAACTATTAAAGTCTAGGTTGGTTATTTGTTAATACACACGAAAATCTAAGCTTCGTGATCACTTCAATTAAAGTCATGTTAATGCCTAAACCAATTAATTAATTACCTAAGTTAGCGTGATTCAATTACATTTTCCCTTTAATTCTAGATACTATTCAATTAGTTATTTCGGCTGAAACCGGTGGGTCTTAGGGGTCCCTTTTTCTCGGTCCCCTCGACTCGAGTGTGGAGAGCTTAGAACAACGTTGTGTGTTGGTCCATTGACTGTTGGAGCTTAGCGATGTCCTCTTGTGATTTCATGGGAACCTTTGCTTTTCTCTTGCGACGAGTTGCGATGCTTAAGAATAGTCCTTAAACCTCTGCGTTGTCTCGAACTAGCTACCTTGCTTCTTTGACCAAGCACTGGAATTAAACAATGTGGATTTAAATGTCTTTTCCCAATTTACTCATGAAGAGATTTGAAAGAAAAGAAAAAAAGGCTAAGAAAGTTAAGCATGGGGTGCGTGAATTGGGTGCGAAAGTGAAGGATACTGTCCAACTCCCTCCCTAGAAGAAACAGAAATATTTGCATGCTTGGTGTGTGCTTATGTGCATATGTTATATTTTAGACTTGTGGACCGTCAAATATTAAATCAGACATAGACTAACTCGTGAGACCAACTTTAGGCGCAAATATTAGACTGTCTCGTGAAAGACAGAGCTATCGCTGGATAACAATATTCATCGCCGGGCGACAACCACTGTCGTCCGGCGGCATCCATCATCGTCTAGCGGCAGAAATGCGATTCTGTTTCTAATACTTCCGCGTTTATGTCGTGTTAATTAGGCTTATGTACATGATTAATGTGATTGAATTAGCCCCTTTGCCCATTGATTAATCATTAATTAATCAATTTTAGACTTAAAAAAAATGACCAAGCTACCGCAAGAAGGCAGCAACTGTCGTTGGGCGATGAGTCTCATCGCCAGGCGACAACCTTTGTCGTCTGGCGATGGACTGCATCGTCCAGCGCCACGAAGCTAGTTCGTTTTGGTCGTGCATTGAACCTTTGATAGCCTAAATCTATGTTGTTCATGATTCGTTTTAGCCTGTTTTAGTCTTTCTTATGATGGTCCAAGCAAAGCCCAAGTTCATGGTTAGTTCAAAATATACATTCAATAATACAATATCATACAAAGTCAAAACAAGGTCACATGGAACAAACGGTTAGTTAAAATGCACATGTAGTCAAGTAGTCACAAGCATGATGCAATGAATTTAGAAACCTAAGCCATGGTTCTAGTTCGACTAGGTCAGGATTGAGGGGTGTCAAGTAGGTCCATGGTTTTGAATTCGGATTCAGAGCAATGTAGCATGCCTTGAGGGTATATGCTAATGAATAGAATTCTGTGGGTTAAACCCAACTCCATGGTTTGGTGAACTCGCTAACCCGGATGGACCCTTATCGTTGTGAACTTTTTCAGGTCGATGGGGCGTGAATTCCCGAAGGCTTATGTCCGTATGTAAAACACATACGGTTTTCAGAAAAGACCGAATAATAAGGAAGTAGATTCGTCAGAAAATTGAAAGACCGAAAGAAAAATAGAAAAGGAGAGTGGCGCTCGGCGGTGGAGGCTGTCGCCCGGCGATACCCTCTATCATCCGGCGACAGGCTTATCGCCCGGTGGCAACTCGGTTTTCTGTTTTCGGTTGAGCGTTCGCAATTTTAGGCCGAATCTAATTGTAATTAATTTTCCAGTCAATTCCTACGTGTATCCTATGGTTTGACGCATTACGGGTTGTCTTTCCAATGTGTACATTTTTATGCAAATGCCACAATGTCAATCAAGATTAGGGTAAGGAAGGTCAAAACATTTTCGAGTTTCATCCACTCATCCCAATCAATACCAAACACATTAGTATCAATTAGGAATCCTCCCCAGTGGAGTCACCAAAATTGTAGGGAATTTTTTATACCTCTTCGCCTTACCGTGGTGTCATGCTTTTAGGCATGCCTTTGGCAATCCTAGGAAAGTTGATAGAGTCGCCAATGAGTCTTGGAAAAACTCATAAATCTACTATAAATTATGAAATTATGATCCGGTAGTGGTCTTGAACCAGTATGGATTCAGGGATGATGGTACATTGAGTTTAAAGAAGTCAATTCCGCCCGATTTGGCCTCTACTTAGGTTTTGACATTATTATCGCTTCTCGATTGACATACAAACAATAGGTTAATCCTAGACCTAAATCTAAACCTAAAAACTATTAAAGTCTAGGTTGGTTATTTGTTAATGCACACGAAAATCTAAGCTTCGTGATAACTTCGATTAAAGTCGTGTTAATGCCTAAACCGATTAATTAATTACCTAATTTAGCGTGATTCAATTACATTTTCCCTTTAATCCTAGATATTATACGTGATACATGTAGCATTACAACGAATATAAAGGGGTTAGATAAATCACACATCAATCAAATAATCCTAGACATGATGCTACATAATTTACAAAGAAAGCTTAGGAAATTATACCTTACGCGCGCAACCTTCTTGCTATGGACACCAATCAAATAAACATGTTAGTAATTCGAATCAAATCAATAAAAATTAATGAAAAATAGAAAGTACAAGAGAGTTTAAGGGAAAGAATTAATTTTAGAACCCTCAGGTTCAACCTTTCACGTATGGGTTTCAAAGATCTCACGCTTGCTCGATCTCGCGCACAAGAACTTCGTGTATAAGGAATTGTGAATGAATGTAATTAGATCTTTGATTAGGGACGAAAGGTTGTTGTTTCTTGTTGTTTTTAAGTGCTAAGTTTCGTGGGTTGAGTTGTGGGAGTCGTGGATTAAGAAAAGGTTAAAGATTAATTAGAGAGATTAAGGTTTTTTGATGTGAATGGTTAGAATGATTGTTGATGATGGAAAACTGAGGGGTAGAGGGGTATTTATAGGCTAAGGGAAGGACCGAGGCCAGAAGAAGATAAGGCTAAAGCCCTATGGCCGCCGCTGGGAAACACGGGCTGTCGCGGGGGATAAGGCTTATCGCGCGGCGATAAAGCTCATCGTCCCGCGACAAGCTTTCCTCTCCGCGCTGGCTACCTCGTGTCAACGTGGGGTTGGCTGTTAGCTTCTACGCGTTTTTGACTTGGTCTAGGATAGAATGATGTCTGGTCAAAGGGGTTAAACAAGATAATTAAGCTAATTATCCTTAAAATGAAGGATAATTATTCTTTAATTATCTATTAATTGTGTTCACATTTGGCTTTATCCAATTTTGACCATTTCAAAGATTCTAGAAGCTTCCAATAGGTTGTAGGAGTGGATGGCCGTCCATATGTGGTGGGCTAAGGAGTTGGTTTGTCCAAATAAGATTAAAACGGGCTTAATGGTTTAAACCGGGCTTGTTTCAGTATTCAGGCCATAACTTTGTCGATACTACTCGGAATCGGGCTTGTAATATACCGTTGGAAAGGTCTTTTCAAGCCCAATTTAATGGAGCAGGAAACAGACCAAGACCATGGACCAAAATTATGGGCTAGACCGATCTTTGAGACGTAGCGAGCATTGTTAGGCTTGATTCAGTGTTCGGGCCATAATTTAGTCTATACTTATCAGAATTGAGCTTATTATTTTTTGTTGGAAAGCTTTTTCCTAGCCCAATCTAATAAAACAATAATTAGACTGAAATAGTGGACCATAATTATCGAATAAGGCCATTTTCGTGCATGGGCATGAAGGCTAATGGAAAGCGGGTTTGGGTTAATGTGCTGAATGATGATTTTGGGTTTTGAGGGATATGAAATGGATTTAGGGATGAGGAAACACGGAATTCTTTCGATTGAGACCGAGTTAAACGATTCACTGTGAAAGTGACCTTCATCATCGGGTTCAGTTTTGTAATCCCCCGTATTTTTTAATATTTTATAAATAAAATGTTATTTTATTTATAATATTTATTTGTATTTTTTCAAAATTTAATTTTTAAAAGCTTCAAATTATTAATTGGGTTAAAAAAAATATTTTAAGCTAAATTATTTAATGAACCTATATCCTACAACCCATTATCATAAAAACATAGCCTAACCCATTTGTTTATTTAATTGGCCCATTATTTTTATGAGGCCCAATTGTGCCCTACAGTTCTCTCCTATATATACCCCATGAAACCCCAAATTTTCCCCCACAAAAGGCTAGTTTTATTTTCTTCCTCCTTTATTTCTTATTATTTTCATAAAGCTTATGTAATTTATTTTTGGGTTTTGGTTTTTATTTCATAAAAATTAGTTTATTTCGTATCAAAATCATGTTTTTGTTGTTTTAAACTAATAATTTCAGATTATAATTGTTGCTTTAATTTTCAGATTTTGTAATTTTAAACCTACGGTTTAAATTTAGTTAAATTGGGATTTTAGGGTTCTAATGATCAATTAATTTGGGGCTTTTGTTCCTATTGAATTTCTAATGATTAATTAAGCATAAAAACAAATTATCAGTTTTCCGTAATCAACTTTGATCTCCGTTCTTAATTATATATTTTATCACGTTTAGATTCTAACTCGTTCGATTTTTACAAAAAAAAAATAGTGTTTTTCGAATGTAAACGATGTTTTAATCAAAACACACTACCTTTGGGAGTGACCACCAACATCTAGTGGCCAAATTCAGCCTCTAAATATGGTTTCAGGCAGTTTTTGATTTTTAATGAAGGTTTAATGTTTAAAATAAATTTTCAGATTTTTATAAAGCTCTAAACTTGCTGTAAAAAATTCATGAATAAGTATGTATTTTAAGGTTTTTATGTAGGAAATTTTAAGAATAATATATAAGCTTTTAATTCTAGCAAAAAGGAAGGTTTTAAAGTGTTGTTTAATTGAATTTTAAAGGTTTGATTGAGTTTTTATGAAACTAATTGAATTCTAATTATATATTTTAAGTTTAGATTGTTGTATTCATAAATTCTACTATTAAATTAAATTTTCAGATTTTAAATCTTGGTTTTAAAGGTTTTAAATCATGGTTTGATGATGGATTTTTAGGTTTTTAACATACTAACCTACTATATAATGATTATTTCAAGTAGAGATGTTTATGAGGTTGTTTTATATTCTTAAACTAAATTTCTAGATATAATCCTTACTTTAAAGTTGCTGGAATTTTATGTTATAAGTTATATTTTCATGATTTTAACATATAAACTTATAGTTGAACTATTGAATTATTAACTTTGACTAATGTGAGTAATTTAAAAGCATTATCTCAATAGTTTAAGGGGTTTTAAAGTAGTTTGGTATTGCTGTAAATAATGTTGCTTGGGTATTATTGTTTGGTTTAGGAGAGGACTTTGTAGAAAGCGATTTCTAGTTCCTAAAGTGGTCAACCAACTCGTTTACTCAAGGTACGTACAGGGATATGAAAACCTTGACTTTAGGAGCATGTTTAAGGACTGGAAAAACTTAGAATCATGTTAGGAAACTTGTAGATTGGATGAAATTGTTTGGTAGTGAGTTTAACGTGATGATTGGTTTGATTCATGTATGAGAAATGCGTATTAATTTTTCTTGTAAGTATTATGTATGCAATAACTTGCAAGGTGAGCTTAGAGACAAAGGTACAAGAATATATGGAATGAATTATTATATTACTCTTTCATGATTATTGAAATGGAATGAGTAAGGGAGATTTAAAGTCTTGTGAGACGAGGTTGAGGATTGAGGTGCTTTGTGCACTTAAGGTGTTTATACACCCAGGTAGTTAAATGATTCAATACTAAATATTGTTTGTCACTAATAAATCAATAATTGAATTGGAAATTTGAATCGTTTGAATGATTGATGTATGGTTGGTTGTATTGTTTTGCATTTGAGTCATCATCAAGTTTAAACTTGTAAATCACGTAAAGTGCAAGATGGATGAGCAATAAAACTTTGGATTTGTGCTCATCTAGAGTATTGACAATCAGGGGTTAGGGTTCACGGGGTATTAGCCGTGTACTTTCTAGAGGCCGTCTGATCTACGAGTCTCTTGTTTACAAATGCTTTTTAAAATTATAAGGAGTTAGATGAGATCTCATACTAGCTATGGCCACGGAGTTGCGCCCGTCTGCCATTGGATGTTTATTGATGTTTCCGACAGGAGGCATGGGGTTTTTCTTTTATTGATGTTCCGAAATGGAGCATGGGGAGACAACCTTGTCTATTGCCTAATCCAATCAATGAATGTAATGAAATGAATTATTGTTAGTAATTAGTGAAGTCTTAGTAATGTTAACAATTGAAGCGTGTGTTTGAGTCAATAATTAAATTGTGTGTGCCGATTGATTTTAGTAACATTTTAGGGATTCTTTGTTGTAATTCGTAGCTTGTATGTACCCAGCGTTGTCGATAGCGTGCTTTTGTGTGTCTCTTTCCTGGTCATGGCCTTCGCCTTTCCAATGACCCTGTAAGATCCAATTTTTACACTTGTAATATTGGGGAGCAGATTAATCACAGGTTTAACATAATCAGAACTTGCATCAAGGTGGTGGGACTTTGAGTGGAGTGTTGGATATTTCCACAGTTTATTACATTTCATAAGTTTGGATTTAATTAAATTCTGGTTTGATTTATTTACTACTTTTATTGGGTTTTGAATAAGGGCCTTAATGGTTCCAACTTGTATGACTAAATTTGGTTTTGATTTTCTTTTTTAGTTATGAAACTAATTGATAACTAAGTTAGTTTTTCCGCTGCTAAATTCTGAACTAGCCTTAACGTTTGAACACGTGGCGGTAGCACGTCAGCAATTCTCTTGCAAATTGCTAAAAGTGTTTATAGGTTTTTAAGAGAGAATTATTGGGGTGTTACAAAGTGGTATCTTAGAGCTTAGGTTAGTTTTAATTAACACTAAAGATAATTTAAAGTTTTTAGGCGCCTAACGTTTTAAGTCTTGTGATTTTTTTTATTTAATTACTTGATTTAAAATTAAACTTTAATTTTTGAAAATTATTTTATTTTAAATAAATTAATTCGGCATTTTAAAATAAAATATATGTATTTTTTTTTTTTATAAATTACTGTATTACTAATTATTTTTGAAATAAAACGAATTTGGGTATTTATTTTATTCTTTGAACTTGAGTATTTATTTTATTTTATCAGTGAGTTTTGGGTAATCTTAGGATGGGCATATAAGATAGATGATTTCTTTCTATGTGCATTGTATTTAATTCTTTTTGTGTTGTTTGTTTTTGAATGGATTGTTCATGCAAGGGATTTAAATTATGTATGTGTTATACAATCGTGTACATTTGGTTGTAGTTACCACCTAGTATCACGTTTAAGGATTAAAGCATGTAATATAGAATAATATATAATGATGAATTGTGCAATGTGATAGGTTTGCGTGATCATTTTGTGAAGCTTATATTTATGTGTATTAATATGTGTTTATTGAATGATGTTATTTAATGCTTGGCTTTTTAGGGGGGATATCTCTTTCTTTTATTTGACTTTCCTCCAAACCTTGCACCCAATGAGAGTTTATTTTACTTGGGGAATTGATGAAACATGTGGTGATGATGAAATATTGAATTGAGAATTGGTTTATGACACTCTTGTTTTTTGAAGGGTTACTACATGGAATAAGTGTATAGTGAAAATTTTTACTTGGGAATTTTTGAGAATAAGCTTATGAAGGAATTGAGTAAGTTTCATTGGGAGATTAGAAGAGAACTGGTGAGCTAGTTAATAAGTATTAAAGTCTGAGTATGCGAGTTAAACTACGAGTGTTTTGTAGAGGATAGGGAGATGATTGAGATGAGAACTATCCTACGAAATAATAATGACATGCTTGGTGATGTTATTAATTGAGGTGAGTTACGGGGGCGTAACTCTTTTCTTTAAGAGGGGTAGAATGCGATGTAATTTCGCGCTTTTAACCTCATTCATGCTATTTATTGCTTAATTTTGCATGATTTTTCTTGTTATTGCATAATAGTATTGTGTTTGCATGCTATTAAAGTATGTAAATATTGGCCAAGTAGAGTCTATTGAGTATAAGTTCAGTTTGTTAAATATATATGTGTGTTAAGA